CTGGGGAAGTCAAGGTGTGGAGGGCAGGATTGACTTACCCAGGAGTGAGGTCATGGGTCATGCATGCCCAGGGAAGCAGGTAATCAGAGGGAGGTGAGGGCGGGACCTAATTTTTTAATGTAACTTTTTAAATAAAATTTTTGTGAATTTCATATGACATATTTTGATCATATTTAGATGCCCTCCCCTATGTGCATTCTTTTCCTTTCCCTTACCCAATATCCAGCACTTTATATTCCTTTCAGTTTGGGTTCATCCACTGAAGTCTGGTCGACCTATGAAGCATCTCACTCTTAAATGAGATCGACTCTCTCCCTCTCACTATCCACTAGCCTCAGGTAGAATTGGAATTTCTTACCCACTTCCCCACGTCTATGCTGGGATTTTGTCTGACTTGAGTTTTTGTGGGATTTCTGTATGCTGTCACTGTTGCTGTGAGTTCATATGAGTAACTGACTAGCTGTCTAGAAAATTTTTTCCTTGTGGTCATCTACCTCCTCTGCTCTTACAATCTTTCTGCTCCCTTTTCCACAATGATCCCTGAGCCTTGGGAGGCAGAAGTTTGATATAGGTGTCCTATTGAGAGATAAGTAGCCTCTTATACTCTGCAGCTTCAGAGTTGTAGTTCTCTGTCTTAATCACCATATTCTGTTTAAGGAAGCTTCTCTGCTGAGAGTTGAGATATATATTAATCTATGGATACAAGAATTAGGGAGTTGGGGCCATTAATATTTAAGATTATTATAGAAAGGTGTGTGTATGTGTGTTGATCGCTGTCTTTTTCTTTTTTGCTCTTTGTCCGCTTAGTATTATTTTGTGTTTTAGTAAATTTGGCTTCATTATGTTTTCCTTCTGAAACCCATTGGCTACTCTTATTCCTCTCTTCAGTCTGAAGCATTGCTCCTAGTATTCTTTGTATGGCTAGTTTGGTGGATGTGATTTTTTTGGTCATGTTTATATCATGAAAAGTTTTTCTTTTTCCTTAAACTATGATAGATAATTTTGCTGGCTAAAATAGTCTGGGTTGGCATCTGTGGTCTTTTAGAGCTTGGAGTACATTGCTTCAGGCTTTTCTGGCCTTTAAAATTTCCATTTAGAAGGCAGCTATTATTTTGATGTATTTTCCTTTATATGTGACTTGTGGCTTTCTTTTGTAGTTTTCAGTATTCTTGTTCTGTATATTTAGTGGTTTAGCTATAATATGCTGTAGGGAGTTTCTTTTCTGGTCCTGTCTTCTTAGTATTCTGTGTACTTCTAGTATCTCTATGGGTATGTCTTGCCTTAATTTTGAAAGTTTTTTTTCTATGATCCTGTTGAAGAGTTGATCTATGCCATTGACCTGAGATTCTTATTTTTCTATGTGTATGATTATAGATTTGATAGATTTGGTCTTTTCATAGTGTCCCGAAGTTCCTGAATATTCTTTTCATTTTTTAAAGTATCATTTTATTTCATTGACTGATCTAATTCTTCTACTTTATCTTCAGGTCCTGATATTTTAACTTTCTACTTGATTAGTTCTACAGTAACTCCACTGAGTTTTCTAATTTGGTCTTTACAATTTTCAGTTCTACCTTCATTCCAGGTTGAGTTTTCCTCAGTACTCTTACTTCTTTCTTGAGTTTGGTTTTCAAATTCTGTACCATTTTTATAATTTCATTCAATTATTTGTTTTTGTTTTCTTGTACTTTAATTAGGAGTTTATTTCAGTCTTCTTTAAGTTCATTCAGGTGTTTACTTGTGTCTTTTTTGAATTCCTTGAATTCTTTGATCAAGTTTATGATTGTTTTTTTAAATTCTGTCTTGAGTTTCATCTAGGTAATTTCCATGGACATGTCTATAGGACTGGTGGTCTTTGGTGGGGACTTATTGTCTTACTTTCATATTGTTCATGTTTTTTGTGATGAGACCTGTGCATATGGATTTATTTTGTTGTTTGTGTTTCTGATATGAGATTCTAGCCTGTCTATGTTAAATGGAAGTTTGGTTCTGTTTTTCCTTTTGTTTGAACTTGGTTGATTTAAGGTCAGGTAGGAAAAAAGAGCAGGTCAGTCCTTCAGATCAATGTTGATTATTGATTTGAGAGACTGGGATGAGTTCAACACACTGGTAATCCTTGTGATGCTGGGGCCTTAGGAATCATGTGAAATTGCTTGGATAAAATCTTAGGAAGTCTCCTGATAGGGATCCTAGCTGGGCCTGGATATGAAAGTGTAGTATGGGGCAAGGGACTAAACAGACTCTGAAAATACAGGTGAATATGGTTTCAGGCTGGGTCCAGGGGCCAGAGACCTGGTTTGGATTCAGCAGGGAAGCTCACAGACATGGATCCAGGCTATGCCTGGGCTAAGAGAGCTCAAAGATGTAGTTCTTGCCTGTGCCTGGAGGGGTGGCATGGATGGATAGTATGGGGTGAGGGTCCTGGATCAGACTCAGTATAAGGGTAGGCAGATGCAGTGCCTAGCTTGGCCTGGGCCTGGGGATGTGTGGAATGGGATGAAGTCAGACTCACCAAGACAGAGCTTGCAGATGTGGCTCCTGCCTAGACCTGGAGGAGTGGCATGGATGGAGGTGATGCAGGGTGAGGGTCCTGGGTGATATTGGGCAAGAGAGACTACAGATGTGCTTCTGCCTGGATCTGGGTCTGGAGTGGGGGGAATCTGGATAAACACTTAAATTTTTTTAAATTTTATTTTAATTTTATGAGTGTTTTGTGTGCATGTATGTAAGTGTACCTATGTATACACTGCCCATAGAGGCTTAAGAGGGTGTCTAATCCCCAAAACTGGAGTTATGGACAGTTGTTAGCTGTCATGTTGGTGCTGAGAAATGTCCCTGGGTCCTCTGAAAGAGCATACAGTGCTCTTACCTGCTAAGCCATCTCTCTAGCCTCTCCCTCTTTCTTTCTTTCTTTCTTTCTCTCTCTCCCTTTCTCTTTCTCTCTCTTCTTTCTTTAATACTTTATTATTTTTTATTTTATGTGTATGAGTGTATTGCCTATACGTATGTAAGTACACTTGTGTTGTGCAATACCTGCGGAGGTCAAAAGAGGGTGTTGGATTCCCCTGGAACTGGAGTTAAGGATGGTTGTTAGCCACCATGTGGGTCCTGGGACACAAACCTGGGTCCTCTGCAAGAGCAGAGAATGCTCTTAACTGCTGAGCCATTTCTCCTGCCCCTCTAACCCCCTTTCTAAAAGACTTATTTATTTTTGTTTTTTTTTTTTTTTTTGGTCTTTTTTACACAGGTCTCTCTATGGCCCCAGCAGGCTTGGAACTCACTATGTAGACCAGGCTGGCCTTGAACTCACAGAGATCTGCCTGCCTCTGTCTTCCAAGTGCTGGGGTTAAAGGCATGTGCCACCATGCCTGGCTTAAAAGACATTTTTAATGATGAGAGAGTGTGTGTGTGTGTGTGTGTGTGTGTGTGTGTGTGTGTGTGTGTATGGGGGCTGTATGTGCATGAGTGCAGTGCCCAAAGGGGCCAGAAGTATTGGATCCTTTGGAACTGGAGTAACAGGCAGTTGGAACCCACCTGACATGTGTGTTGGGAAGCAAACTTGGGTCCTGTGCAAGAGCGTTCTTAACCACTGAGCCAGCTGGATTGACTCTTATGGGAGGGGGCAATGGTATGTAAAGTTCTAATCTTCAGAGCAGATCAGAATGTCATGTCTGCACCTAGGGCCACAGGCATTCCATTCTTTTGACCAGGAAGCCTATGGAGGGGCTTTTGTGATATTTTCCTTGCTAGTGTTATCAGGGAAATGTGTGGTGGGGTCCAAGCTGACTATGAGGGAAGTAGCTACTTGACATTCCTTCCTAACTCAGGAGTAGCTGCTTAACATTTTAACATTCCTCCTTCAAGAGTTAGATTCTAAAATCATTTAGGAAACGATCTGAAATTAAGGGAGAGATATAACCCATTTCTACAATGAAAATCCAAAGATTCAATTCTGTTAGGGTTCCAAACAGCAGCAGCTTCCCCCCTCCCCAACAGGGACCTACAGACTTTTGGAGCCCAAAAGAGAGAACTGAGCTGATAAGCACCTTGACCTTACATCTTTCCCTTCCCTGACATCTTTCCCTTCGCTGACATCTTTCCCTTCCCTTCCCTGACACCTTTCCCTTCCCTGACATCTTTCCCTTCCCTGCCCTTACCTGACATCTTTCCCTTCCCTGACATCTTTCCCTTCCCTGACATCTTTCCCTTCCCCGAGGGAAACGTGTCCCGTGCGAAATAAAGCTGTATCCCGCTGAGAATTCCATCTGTGCCTCGCTGCCTCCTCCATCCGCCACCTTGTTCTCCTCTCCCAACATTTTTATCTATCAAATTCCAGATTTGTTCATCAGAGATTAATTTCTAGACTGGAGTTTAGGTCACACCCTCATGAAAAGCTTCCAGGCAGAGGTGCTCATTTAGGGGAGGAGAAGACTAGTAAAGTAGAGCTCCATTCTGGCACTCGTGGCCAGAGAATGAACATTTCCAGCCTCTGGCCAAGGGCCAGGGTGAAAGGGCTCCTCAGGGTCCCTGCCCTAAAATTTGCCTGACCACATTCTATCTCCTGTTCCTATAAAAAGGACAGTTAAGTAGCCCTCAGAAGGTCAGGGGCCACCAACATTTACCTATTATGGTGTGGAATATTTCAAATGTTTTTACAGGCAATGTGATGTATAATAACTATCAGCAATGCTTGGCTGTAATTTTGTGATTCAGGTAATTTGATTAAACAATTGATGTTAGAGTATATTTTGTAAGTTTTGGACACTGAAATAGTTTTGTAGAGGAAAAGAAAAATTAAATTCTGGATTTTAATGGAAGAAGTCATGATCTGGGTCACATTTGGTGGTAATGGCATTTTTTGGAGATAATGGCATTTTTGGACTGGATGTAGTTCTCCCAAGAAGGTAACCAACCAAACTCTCCATGTTTCTTTTATAGGCGACATCACTGTCCACGTCTCCCTACGAAGATTTATGATAAAACAGAGAAACCATGTCTTCTCTCCGAGTACACGGAGAATTACCCTATCTATTATTCTTACCTGCCCAGAGAGACCTGCAAGCCCAAGGCAGTGTACCAGAAAGGATCCATACCCATGGAAGTCCTGACCACATCCAGGTGAGGGCAAGCGGTGTTAGGGAGACATGTATGGCACAAAAGCAGTACTGCACAGTACTGATGTGAATGTTAAGGTAATAGTGTGAAGTATTAGTGCACTTGTATGCAGTATGGACATGTGGCATCAATGCTTTAATGCTAATATACTGTATCTCTAAAAGAGATGCTTGCACTTATTAGCCTGCTTAATTGTTCCCAAATTCCTCTTTTTAAAAAATAATTTATTGAGAATTTCATACACGCATATGTTTTGATCAAATCCACGCCCACTCCCGCCCCTCCAACTCCTCCCATATCTCCACATCACTTTTTTTCCGATAACTCCATGTACTCTTTCTTCTTCTTTCTTTAATGAGGCTTTTTTGCTACTCTAACGTTCTCCCCTCTGAAGAGGTAACCCTAAAATCTTTTAAGGATTAGATAAGAGCTCCCAAATATTTTTGACATTTTTGGCCTTTGGAATGGAGTATGTTGCTAAGAGGCCTAAGGACATTTTGACTTTTAGCCAAGAAGCTGGCTACCTTTCTTTGGGGTCTTTTTTGCCATAACTGCCTAGTCAACTCCTACCTCCTATTGTTATGACACCATCCTCTGAAGAGGACACTGACAGGGAATTGGGATGCAGACCACTCTGGCTTCTTCCATGCTGGACAGGGATGCAGGGTGAGGCAATTGGAGTACCCCTTCAGTGGGTCTATCTAAAAGACTCCAAATTTCATAACTCTTATCTGTAGGGGGAAAAGAAAGTCCTTGAATCCTGAATAGGAGATGTGAAGGAGAAGTAAAGGCAAGAGTAATTAGCATTTCAAGTTCTAGACAGGGAACTAGAAAAAAGTCAGAACAGGGTAATTTTCAAATGTTCTTATTAGAGTCCATTGGAATTTCTTGACAAGAGCTTCCAAAAGCATCCCTCTTTTGGGTTCTTCCTCATTTTTCTTTTGTCTGCCAAGGCTGGACTCGAGAGAGATGGATTCGGGATTTGCTTTCAGATATTTTGATAGCTGTTGGAGAGGTTAGAATCAGTGTCAGTTCCCTCTCAAAGCCTTTACCACATGGAGGCAGGATCTGGGAGCTCTTAGGCAGTCCCCTGTTCTCAGACCCTATGCCAGAGGGAGGCCAGAACTGGCACTCTCTGGTGGTCTGCTGAGATCACAGCTGCTATACTGATGGAGGTTGGAATCCCCCTAATTTCTCTTAAGGAAAAAGGGGTCTTGTTTGTGGAGGTAGGGTCAGGAGGTTAAATTGGCCCATTTCATTACCCTGTTGTCAGTGACTGAGAAATATGCTCAGACTGGGGATTCTGTAAAAGACTCAGTATCTTCTATTGACACCTTGGTTATTGACTTACAAATGATGATGCCTGGCTAGTGAGCTAGTAAAGTAGGAACATCTTGGAGTGCGATTGGGCAGGGCTGCAGATTGAGTGGGTTAGTTTCTAACACTGATGTGTTCTCTGCTTTCCCATTACTCATCCCTAAAGGGCAGAATTCCTGTGCAGGGGAGCTAATAGTGTATGCTAATTGTTCCCACACAGCACTTGCACATTACAGATGCTTAGAGAACCTGTGGAATTTCTTTCTCTAGCCCACCCATTGCATCATGGTTTTGTGTTGTTTTAAAGAACCCAGGTGAAGCACAACAGTTTCCCCCCATGATAACACTGGAAATAGTCCCTCTTGAGATTCTGGGTTGAAAGAATTCTTTCTTTTTTTTTTTTCAGTCTTTTTGAGACAGGGTCCAACTAGCCTGGAACTCACTATGTAGACCAGGCTGGCCTTGAACTCACAGAAATCTGCCTGCCTCTGCCTCCCAGGTGCTTGGAGACAGCACCAATGGAGAGTCCTAGGCACACGTCTAGTGATGTGATTGTTAGAAAGGATAAAGGTGTTTAGGGATGCCTTGCAGATGTCACTTTCTACTTCCAGGTGTGGCTGTTCTCATCTCTTTTCACCCAATTTTTCAGGAAACCAAGAACAGTTTATTGTGAGATATAAATGATAATGTTAGGGTAGAACTATATTAGGGTAGAAAAAGGTGCTTGTAGGCTGGATGCTGGGAGATGCCCTTGTTTATTGTTCAAATCTTTGGAGAACAAAGACAAATCCTCATGCTGGGGCAGAGCCCTGCTCCATCACCCAGCTCTGAGGCCCCAGATTCAGCAGTCCTACATAACCTTCTTCCTCATGTTGTTTGCAAAGCGTGAACTTAACCTCTGACCTCAGCTAAATTATCTTTGCCCAAGTCACTTAAAACAATAAACTCATCACCCAGAAGGCTCTGCTGCCTCTGTCAGCTCCAGAGTAATAATAAATCCAATTTATACCAAGAGGAGGCTAAAGGGGAAGGCTTATGATTATGAAAGAATTTCCATAGCAAGGTATTAATGATCATAGATCTTTAAAAAGAAAAGGGGGCAGAATCCAGGCTTCTTATAGGGAAAAGGGAAATCAGATCAAGGAGTTGGGCTATAACTCAGTGGCAGGACACCTGCTTAGCCTGTAGAAGGGCCCTAGGTTCAAGCTCTAAGACCAAAAAATAAATAAAGCATGTGAGCCTTTCTTCTCCTTTGTTCTACCCTAGAGGAAAACCAGGAACAGACTTGCAGGGATGTATCCTATACCTCAGTTTTACTATTTCTCAACCTGTGCTTGCTATGCTGAGCTAAAATTAAGATAGTTTCAGGAAATATAGAGCTGCCACCCGAATGCTTCATCAGAGGCTTTTTGGGGAAGGGAGGGACATGTCATGCCCACATCTGCATAACTCACATGTCTGCATAGACTGCCCCCCTCCGCTCTCAGGACCCCCATTACCACAGCGATGCCCTCATTTTCTTATCTATAGGTTGACTTTGCGTAGTTTTTGAGGCTGGTTATGGGGCCCCCACCTGTTGCATGAAAAAGTCATGTGGTCCTAGACTTCACTGGGTTTGATGATTAAATCCAGACACAAAAAACACCTGGTTTCTGGAAAGGTCACCACCCCACCATGAGGCATGATCACAGCTGCACACAACTCTTACTGACCATAAATCGTGAGGATTTAGAGCAGGTGTCAGAAGGAGAATGCTTGAGATTTCCAGTCCTCCTTACTGGGAAACCAGTTTTTTTTGGTTTTTTCTTTTGCCCTTGGTAATTCTCTCGCACAGGATTTGCCTTTAGTTCAGACAGATCTGAGATCAATTTACGAATAAGAGGTTTTCACTTCAAACCTCATTTCCCTTTAGCATGTCACTAGGTGAGACATTTGGGCTTCCACTTGGGACATTATTTCAATTGGCTAAGCCAGCTCCCTAAATATGAGCTACATGAATAGTCCATCCCCCCAAAAAAGAGGTGAGAATTCAACTGTGTTAGATATTTATCCTAAAAGGAAGTGATGGTAAAGTGGGCTGGAGAGAGAGAGAGAGAGAGAGAGAGAGAGAGAGAGAGAGAGAGAGAGGAGAGATGCAATCAGTTTAGACTTGATGGATTTGGCTGAAAGGCAGAAAACAGGCAGTTGGTAGCGTAAACTCTTGTTTATTGATAAAACTACTTGATTAATCAAGGAGATTAAGGGAGCAAAGAGCTAAAAGAGAAAGGGCATCTGGTGTCCTCTTTCAAAACCAGACAGGATGCAAGAAAGTTGGTAATGGGCTCGAGCCTTGACAGGATCAGTTTAGACTTGATGGATTTGGCTGAAAGGCAGAAAACAGGCAGTTGGTAGCGTAAACTCTTGTTTATTGATAAAACTACTTGATTAATCAAGGAGATTAAGGGAGCAAAGAGCTAAAAGAGAAAGGGCATCTGGTGTCCTCTTTCAAAACCAGACAGGATGCAAGAAAGTTGGTAATGGGCTCGAGCCTTGACAGGCCTACTGATCGTGTATATTTTCTTTGTAGATGTACTTGACTCCTCTACTCAGAGCGGTACTACTAGGGATTACTTATCTTGGTAGACTGGGCCTGAGAAGTGATGAAGACATGCACATAAAGTTCTCAGCATTAGATTTGACTCGGGAGCTTCAGAGTTTTTGAATTGCCTTTGATGTGTATCCATGATTGAATTTGTAGACATTTGGGCCATCATTGCATTGTGTGCTCTTCTATTCCTGATGCTCTGTCCACTCCTTTCCTTTAGTATCTTCAAGTTCATTGAGTTCTTCCTACTCAAATAATGTATTCTTTAGCTCTTTTTTTTTTCATGATGAGACTTCTGTCTCTGATCCCAAGTGCTGGGATTATAGCAATATACTCCCAGGCCTGGTTTTAGCTCTTTGAGTTTATATTTGGTTCTTTTTTATATAGCTTTTATTTCTTTTGGGTCGTTTCCTATCTTTTGTTTTATTATAACCTTGTTTTGCTTGTTTTTCATTAAGCATAGTTAAAATATCTGCTTTGAGATCTTTGTTTACTAAGTCTAACGTCTGGTCTGCTTGAAGTCCATGTTGTATCTTCCTATAAGTGTGGATTGATTCTGGTTTTTTCTCACATTTTTCTGTAAAGCAATTTTTCTTTGTTTATTGCACAGGTAAGTTGATTGGGCTCAAAGTGCAAACTCCATGTCTTGGGTGGCAGCCTAAATTTCAGTTCAGTTATCTTTAACATGGACTGCTTAAAGTATGCTTTTGGCACATGAGGCAAGCCAAGCTTTAGGCTTAGCTATATACAGAAGTTTGGCTTCCTGTTTTAAAAAATATATATTTATTATTATTTTTATTTTATGTACATGCATGTATTGCTGGTATGTAGGTAACTGCACCTGTGTCATGCAATGTCTGTGGAGGACAGAAGAGGCTGTTGGATCTCTTGGAACTGGAGTTATAGACAGTTGTTAGCTTCCATGGGGGTGCTGGGATTTGAACTTGGGTCTTCTGCAAGAAGAGCCAGAGTTCTTAACAGCTGAGTCATCTCTCCAGCCCTTGGCTTACTGTTTTTAACCCCTTCCTTTCTGGGATTGCCTCACATTTGGTGTTCCAGTTGTTTTAAAATTAGTTATTTAATAACCACATGATTAGAAGAA